GGGATCACAGCCTGTGTCCCAAGTCAGGTTTGGCCACTCATCCTTCATAAGCCAACCTCAAAAGTCAGGTGAGTAGTGGAAAACAGAGAAAGGAGATCTGTTCAGTGTGACCACATTGGTAAGTCTGCTTATTAAGGATGAGTGACCAAACCTGGTTTGGGACACGGGCCGTGACCTCCACTCTCCAGTGCCATAGCAGGTTGAGGCACAGCCAGGCACCCACAGTAAAGCCGCCTCCCAAGTCTGAGGAAAGGGCCAGCAGAGGAGGCCTACCCACCATGAGGCACACCACAGAGCCTTGTCAAGGCAGCAGAGGACATTCCTCAGGTAGCCCTCTGTAAGTAGAAGGCCTTGTGTGGGACTGGCTGGAGAGGAAGCCAGGCTTAGCAGTGGGTAGGGGCAGAGGGCTCCCAGGCCAGAGCCCAGCATCAGGAGTACCACCTACCTGCCTGCCTCCACCCTGCCCTCTCTGTCACTCTCAACTCCTAGTATGTGCCCCTCCTGCTGTGGGACCCTACAGGCTGGCTTCCTGACCTGCTCCTGTGGCCCCTGACTGACCATTTGTTATGGTCCCCAAGTGGGCAGCTCCTCCAGGCCTGTCCTGCAGGCATCTCTGTCCACCTTCCGGTTATGGCAGGCCAGGCCCTGCTTTTCCTTTTGTGACTAGCTGCCACTGATTTCTGTCTCCGGCGTAGTCTGCCCTTCTCTCAGTAACCTGGGCCTCTGCTATGGACTTAGGCCTTGAAGAAAGTGCCAGCCGCCGCAAGATGGTGTGTGTGCAAGTCTGAGGCTCTGTTGTTCCAGGAAGAGGGCCCCTAGCATCCCCCTGGGCCTTTCCACTGCAGCCTCCTCAGCCCTGCCCCTTCTCCTCCCAATACTCCACAGCAGATACTGGCCCAGCGGGTTAGGCTGGCCCAGCCAGGAGGAAGCTGGGTTAAGTTGGCCACAGTCTTCCTCAGAGGCTGGCTCCAGTGGGATCTGCTTCCTCTCCCTCCCAGGGTTGCTGCTGCTCGAGACACACCCCAAGCTAGCTCAAGCCCCCCACCCACCCATCCACCCACCTCATTCCCGCTCCCAGAAGCTGAGGTCACAGGCTCCCCTGGGCTGGGGTGGGGTTGTCATCACCTGGCAGTGGGGGAGGAGGCAGGGCCCTGGGGGCTGTTGTCTTAGAGATTGGGTAATTTGGGAACTCAACTCTGCCAGGACTGGTTCCCGAGCCAGGCCAGAACCTGTGGACCGCAGCTCCTATGGCCTGGGGGATTTGGGTGGCAGTTTACAGTTTCTGGGAATCCTCCTGTGGGGACCGGCTGGGCGGGAGTAAGGCCTGAGTTTGTTCAGAGGGCTTGGAGCACAGGACGTACTTCTTCCCCCCAGCAGAGCCCCACAGGTCTCCTCCACCTTGGGCAGCATGCTGACTGACCTCTCCTTCCTCAGGTGTCCCTCAATGCTTGGTTCTGGTCCACAGTCTTCCACACCAGGGACACTGACCTCACAGAGGTGAGCTCCTCCCAGCCCCTGCATGGTACAGTCCCAGGGGAGCCCAGGAGAGGGCAGAGCAGGCTCTCTAGAGTGAAGACAGCTCCCATCTGCAGAGCAGAGCCTGGCAGCCCATGGAGTCTTTCCTGGATCATGCCAGGAGAGTTTTGTCATTGATTTCCTGATCTCTAAGGCCACTGAGCCTGGGAGAGATGAAGTCGTTTTCCCAGGGTCAAGCAGCTAATGTGATCAGGACTAGAGAGTCCGTGTCTGTCACACGCCAAATGACATTTTGAATTTCTTAGTGTGCTGTCATAGTGAGGCCCATCTCAAAGCCATGAATGTCCCACTGCCTGGCCATCTGAAATGTTTTATAATGTGGACACAGCCATAGGCAGAGTCTGCAGACTGCAAGCCTAGACTCTGTCCCTTCACTGCCTCATCCCTGTGGCTCTTCTGTGGGCCTGCCCTGTGCTATGTTCTGCTCCCTCACCTGGCCCTCCCGGGCTCTCCCTACCCGCAGAAGATGGACTACTTCTGCGCCTCGGCTGTCATCCTGTACTCTATTTACCTGTGCTGTGTCAGGTGAGCTCTGGGGCTATGGGCAGAGAGGGTCCCGTCCAGAGCCTCTTCCTTGGCCTTCTCACTTTCTGCGGGGCTGTCTTGGGTGGGGGTACCAGGGACTGAAGGGATCTGGCTTCTCCTTGTGGTCCTTGGTTTCTGGGAAACCATTGGTTCAGTGGGGGCAGGGAAGGACAGTGGCTTCAGCAAGCCGTCACCCCTTTGGGCGAGGGAGTAGTTGAAGGAACAGGCTCTGGGGATAGCCAGCCAGCCACTGTCTGAGCTGTTCTGGGTGGTGGGACAGGACCGTGGGACTGCAGCACCCGTCAGTGGCCAGTGCCTTCGGCGCCCTGCTGTTGCTGCTCCTGTCAGCGCACATCTCTTACCTGAGCCTCATCCGCTTCGACTACGGCTACAACATGATGGCCAATGTGGCTATAGGTGAGGCCCCTTGCAGAGCTGTGGGTGGGCAGGAGGTGGCTTCTTGGGGAATGTTCTAGAGAGACTCTTGAGGGCAGGGAGGAGTTGAGATGGGAGGCTGGGGGTGGGTGGAGTGGGACAAGGCAGCTAGAGTCAAGGAGGACGTCCAGTGAGTGAACCTCTTGTGTCCCTGGCCCCCAGGCCTAGTGAACCTGGCCTGGTGGCTGGCCTGGTGCCTACGGAACCGCCGGCGCCTGCCTCACACGCGCAGGTGTGTGGTGGTGGTGCTGCTGCTGCAGGCGCTGTCCCTGCTGGAGCTGCTCGACTTCCCCCCCCTCTTCTGGGTCCTGGACGCCCACGCCATCTGGCACATCAGCACGATCCCTCTCCACATCCTCTTTTTCAGGTGAGTGCCACCCCCTGCCTCGGGGTTCCCTCCTCTGCACCCTAGGGCAGACTGGGGCTCCCTGTGCCCACTCGGCCTTCCCACTTGCCTGCTGTCACCCCACTGTCTGGGAGGTTCTCAGAGCTGGGTGACTGCCTCAGTGGGGTCATTTCCACGCCCACAGGTTTCTGGAGGATGACAGCCTGTACCTGCTGAAGGAATCTGAAGCCAAGTTCAAGCTAGACTAAAGATGCTCCGAGGGGACACATCTGCCTCGCTCCCCGTTCTCCTCCCTTCTCCCCCTTCAGATGACTGTTTTCTCCTTTTAGCTTCTTGAACTTGCACATGTGGGGTATGGGCTTGGAATCATAGAGCCACCCGCCCCGCCCTTGCTGGCTTTCACAGCCAGGGCTTCCTCACGTCTGGGACAGGAAGCAGGCAGCCCAGCTGTGCCTGGGGCTGAACTGGGAACAGGTGTTGAGGTCGCCAGAGAGAAATGCCGCTTCTGTCTCTTCAGCCCACTCCCTTCTCCACATCACTCACCCTGATAGTGCCACCCCACGTAGGGCCACTTACCCCTAAGTGCCACACCCACAGGCTTTTGGGGTACATTGGGGTCTCTTTTGTCAGGGAGCCACTAGGTGGCACTGGAGGCCTGCTCTTCGGCTGCCCAAGTTTCTTCCTGGGTCTAAGGAACTGAGCGGCGGGGGCTGATACCAAGGAGGGGTTTTCACCCTATCTCTTGCACCAGACATTCTTTCAGAGCCAAGACCCCAGGGGGCTCAGGATTAGAACCCTGGCTTCCGTTCTGGTTGGGAGTGGGCACATTCACACATAGAGGGATGTGGACCAAACTAGGCGCAGAGATAGTCAATGAGCTGAGTTTGGCAGCACTGGGGCATGGTGAGTGTAGAGAGTGGCTGTGCTCAGGAGGCAGGTGGGTGAAGGTGGTTTGGGGAAGGTGTGTCTGAGATGAATGTGAATGTGCTACACTTGTAGGAGCCTGGAGTGGAATGGGGGAACCAAGCCATCACCAGCAGCCATTTGAGTCCAAGCCATTTGAGTCTTGGGGAGACCAAGACCCCAAGTCCAGCCAGCTGCTAGTATGTGCATATGACCTGTTGGGTGCAGTGCGTGTGGATGCCACCCAGAACCCCTTTGCCCTCCACTTCCACTCCAAATCACAGCCCCTACCCCCTGGCGCATGTCTTGAGAGCACCCTGCAGAACTAGCCCCTGGAGGGTAGAGCAAGGAAGGGACAAAGTGTCCCACCTTGGCTCATCTCTCCCTTGGCATGGTGTGCCTCCCACTCCAGTTCCCTGCTGGAGCCTCTGATCACAGCCTGGACTTTGGGGGCATCAGGCAAAGGGGAAAGAGGGTGTGGAGTTTGTGTCTGTGTGTGATCTCTGCCCTCCATAGGGGAGCTTGCTCTCCCAGGGTAATCCCAGGGCAAGCAGGGCCCATACATCCTAAACCAGTCCATAAGGAAGGCAGTCTGCGACTGGGCCCTGCCTCTATCCCCTGCCCTCTCATTGTGGGGAGGGTCGCTGTGCCAGGGCTCCAGCTCAGGTACTCGGACAGTCTTATCAGGATTTTTTTTTGATACTAAGAACAATTTTAAGGCCGGAGACAGTAAATGATGTGTGTAATAAACCAATTCCTGGCCTCACCCTGGTTCTGCTCCTCTGTGTATAAAGTGGGTGGGAGAGAAGGAGACATTGGTGGCCAGTGACGTATCTGCGCGTGCGCGCTGGTGGTGGTGGAGGTAGGGAGCTAGCACCTCTGGCTCTTGACTTCTTGTTTCTCGACCTGTATTTGTGTCTGGACCTTACTGCCCCCTGCTAACCACATCATCCGGGTCTCCTGGCTCCCCAGCTGTGGCTCTTCTTACTCAGGCTCTCTAGCTTCACTCTGGGGACAAGCTGGCAGGACCAGCTACTGAGCTGAGGCAGAGTGATTGGCCACTGGAACCGCACAAGTGCCTGGCATGCAGCAGGGTCCGCTTGTACCCTCCTGAACTTGGCCTTCCTGGGGTGGGGAGAATGGGTGGTACAGAAAGAAGCCTTCATGGACGCTTCTAGGGGGAAAAAAGCTAGGATTGGTCCCTCCTAAGTCTCAGAGGCCTCTGCCTACTCCTTGCTTCTGGGAGCTCCACAAACAGCACAGGCGAGCAGGGGACCGTTGCTTTATTAGGTACCACTTCAGGTAATATGGAATTTGGGAGGCACAGGACACCCGGCATATGGGCCCCTCATGCCTGCACCCCCGTCTTCTGAGCCCAGGCAAAGAAGACACCCTTGACGTCATCAACACCCGTGCGGAGATGGGCAGGCATGGTGTAGGTACGAAGGTCCCGTACCTCATAACCACCAAGGACCAGGGCCTCCCTCACCTCCTTCTCTGACACTGGCACCACAGACAGCCTGGCCTCCCCAGCAAGGTACCACGACTCCTCTAGGGCTCCGATAAGGAGGAGATGACCCCCCGGCCTCAGCAGTGTGGTGATGTGCTGCAGAGCCCGCTGGAAGCTGGCAAGGTCTGGGCTCACAGCCTCTAGGCAGAAGGAGGAGACCAGGGCATCTGCAGGCAGGGGTGCCAGGCTTGAAGGACCCAGGGGCTGGGGCTGGTGCACATCGATGGGCAGGACTCGCTTCACCCTGGCTCGCAGCTGGCGTTCCTTCTCCTGCCAGGACTCGCTGTATAGGGGACACAAGGCAGGGCTCAGGAGGACCCCAGACTCCGCCCTATGCTGCCCTTCACCCCCAACCCACACCGCAGGAAGCTTCTAGCCCAGCTCTCACCCCTTGCCCTCGATGAGGCAAGCATGCTGGCTGTACACACTCCAGTCGAAGGCTCCTGGTTCCTCCCGAAGCCAGAGTCCCAGCTCCTGCCGGTTGACCTCCAAGAAATCTGTCATGGTGATGTCCTCAAAGTGGGCACAGGCACTGAGTAGCTGGTATATGGTGGGGCCTGACCCAATGTCGATGAGGGCCTGTCCAGACACTTCACCTAGGTGAAGCAGAGAGAAGGAGGTTCCAGGTGGCCCCTGCCTCAGCCATCTTTCCCTCCCATGCTCTCCCAGCCCTTCTGGGTAGTGTGAGTGCCGGGAACAAGTACGGTCAGACACAGAAATCAGGTTCTCCTGGGACCAGCGTGGCTCCTCTATCTCCGGATCCACCACTCAAACGCTAGGTTTTGTGAAGATGAAGTGGGGAGATTCTGAGACACCCAGCCTTTCTCTCCATAGTCTCCAACCTGCCTCAGACTCCATCACAGTGTCTCTCCTGCACCCCACCCTGCCTGTCTCTCAATCTTAAGCGCCTTCCCCTCGAAAGAAAAGGAGTCTAAGTTGCCTAGTCAAGCCTCCGATTCTGTGGCTCAAGGCTTTCCTGGTAGCTGGGACTGTAGGCCGTCACCACCACGGAGCCTGACTGACTTGCTCGCTCTCGATTACACAAGCTAGCCACTTAAGGGTTTGCTTCTTGGTCCCCATCTAGTGTGCATGTGCATTCTTGTTTCTCTCCCTCTCCCTTTTGCTTTTTCCCCTCATGACTTCTGCTCTCTCCTGCCTCAGTTTCCGGCGCTTACCTGTGGCAAAGGTTTGCGCCATGCAGCGCAGCTTCCAAGGCCCGACGCCATCAGGGCTACTCAGGTCTCCACGAGGAGGAGCGTAGTTGTTGAGGAGGTAGGCGCGGGGCTCAAAGCGCTGGTAAGCCGAGGCGACAGCTGCCCGGCCAGGGTCCGAATCAGTGGCCATCTCTGCAGCGTGGTTGGGGTCTCTGCCTCCACTCATGCTTCCGTTAGGGCCGCCTATCCCCTGCTTGCCTCTCTATCCCTTTATCTACCACTGCCCCCGCCCCCCACTCTGTTGCAGAGGCGGCGGAAGAGGGATGAGGCGCTCGGGGCCACTGCGTCTCTGTCACCCCATCCATCTCTGTTAGTGTCCGGAGAAACAGACACGCGGGGGTGTAGGGACACCTTCTGGAACATAGATAGCTCCCTCTCCGCTCCACCCTCGATCTGCACCTAACACTCAACAACCCTCCGCCCATACCTTTTTCACCTGCTCACCCCTTCCAGTGCTGCCCTGCACCCCAACCTCAATTCCGGAACCCCTGCCAGGCATCCCAGCTCCTCTCCAGCCTTCCATAGACACTTTTGCTCAGAATTCCATCCCTTTTCTTTCCCAAGGTTTGGATAGCCCATGTTCCCAGTCCCAGGGTCCTCCTCCAAACCCCCTCCCCCTCTCTTGGGGCACCCCTTACAAACCCCCTTCTTAATAATGCCATCCCTCCCCCCAGGCCTGGATCCCAACTCTATCCTCCAGAAAGGACACTCTGTTCTGGCCTCTGTCCTGGTGGCCCAGGGAAGCCCCTGAACAGGTCTCTCTGCCCTGAGCATCTGATGGCAGTAGAGATAAGAGGTGAGCAGGACTAATGCTCTTAGCAAGCGGAATTTCCGGGCATCCCCTGCGGGCCTCTGGGGCTGTCCGTTGCTTATCTGGGGCCCAAGCACAGCCAGTTCAGGATGTTCCTGCCACATCAGGGACACTGGACTCAGGTAAGAACAAAGAGTACTGAGCACATTCTTGGTACTGCCACAGCCACTAGAGGGGCGCATGGCACACTTTTGGCATTCCAAGGACACAGGTCCCTGACGCGTGCGGGGGCCCGGCGGGCGCGGTCAGCACTCCTGTCCCTGCTGGGGAACTGGCAGGGCCTGGCTCGCAGGTTTTGCTTGGTGCTCCAGGGACCTGGCACTCCAGCTTCCACTCTTCCCACTCATCTGCTCAGAGCGGCACACCACCCTGCCAACAGCATCTTCGGTCTCCCCAAAGAGGAGCCCTCTGGACAAGCCTTGCGCCTTTCCAGGGTGGGTAGGATACTGGGCTCTGCTAAGATAGCCCTGGTCTTTCTATCCAGTCCTCCTCTGCGCTCCTTCCTTATTCCAAGGGGACAGTCTCCTTGTTAGGCCTGACACCCAGGCTGGGACATGAACCAGCCTAACAGCTGCAGGGGTCACAGACAGGAACCTGACCCTGTCCTCCCACCCAGGCCAGGGAGGGTGGAGCACCTGATGCCAGCCAAGGATTGATTCCGTCTGGATCTACAACTGACAGGCCTGTGGGTCACTGACCCGATCCACACCCAAGGCACAGCCAAGGACAGCCTCTGTGCCAGCCCCTTCCATATCCTCCAGATATCATTTAAACAAACCCGGATGCCAGCTGGCCTGCTAGGTACTCTCCAGTGCCAGGGAGTGGACATGAAAGCCAGGACTGGGCAGTGACACAGGAAGGGGGGGCAGTTACCCTGTTTACAGCTCTTCCCCTGCACCCCACCCCTAAGCATGGAGTATATCCTCTGGCTGTGCCGTATTTAGCTCAAATGCATAGTCGTTCCCAGAAGTGCCCGGGAGATGTCATGCTCATCCGCAGTCAGAAAGAAGGAGAGAAGCCTGGAACATGGTTGAGCATTTATTGCAGTGCTAACAGAGGGTGCTGGGGGCCTGCCCTGCTCCTGCCCTCTTCACATCCCCCTCCCTCTAGTCTTCAAGATTCCTTCCCAGAGCGTTCCGGATCACCCTTTTGTCCTACTCCGCTTCTGTAACTGAACAGGTCACTGTTTCCAGGGGCCTCTCGCCCTCGTCAGTATCTCTTGTTCCTTCTTCTGGGGCTGAGGGTACTCAGCTCTCCACATCTAGGGTCCACCATCTTTGCTCCCCTTCCTTTGGGAACTCAGGACACCTAGGCATCCTGGCCTCTGGCTCCCTCCTCCCATAGCCCCCACCTCTGGGCAAACTACAAAGCGGCCATGGCCAGCAAGCAGCTCTCCTCCATGGTCCTAGCCAGGAAGGGCCCAGCCCAAGGCAGACACGGTGGAGCCTGAGTCACAGTTCGTCTCAGCCTCTCTGAGCTTCCTGAGACATGGATCTGGACAGAGTACGCCGCAGGGGCCCGGGTTTGCTGACAGGTACCACGGGGGGAAGCTGCTTGGTGATCTCAGCCACGTCCTGGCGCTCCACGCACTGGCCGCCCAGGGCCGTCTCCAGTGCCAACAGCTCCCGCAGCTGGATGGGGGTCTCCTCGCGCTCCTCCTTGGCAGCTCCCACCTTGGTGGGGGTGAAGATGGGCAGCGGCAGCACCCGCTGGTACGGCAGCTGGTATTCCTGCAGCCCACGGCCTAGGATGCCCAGGCGCATCACCAGCCAGGGCGAGCGTTGCACCACGGCCTGACACTGTCCCTGTCTGTGGTAGGTCTCATGTCTCTGCATATCCTCCTCATGCAGGGAGCATCTGAAAGTAAGGAGAAGGGTAGTGAACTCCTGAGGGCGGCTGTTCGGGTCTCAGGCTAAGTGGAGTCTCCCTGGGTGGCCAGGTTTCTGGGGCAGAGAAGGGCCATCAGAAACTGAAGGGCTTGAGACTCTGGTGTGGACAGGGGGCTCTGGGGAAGCAGAGGTAGACTTCCCAGGTTATCCGTCACACTCACCCCTCTTCTGGCCTGGTGGACAGAGTCAAATCTTTCCATTCAGCCCAAAAGGCTTCCCGGCGTTCCTGGTTCTCCTCAGACACTTGGCAGCTCAGCTCTGAAGTGGCCATGATCCCTTCTTGCTCCCTCTGCTACGCCTGGCTCCTCCGGAGCCCTTTAAATAGCCCCCTTCTCCCACTGCTCCCCCTCTCCCAGGGACTATTTTCAGACCCTCTGGCGTCAGATGCTATAAGCAGAGCCAAGACTCACTGGTGGAGGGGGGACTCTGAGTCCAGGGCGGGGGTTGGGAGACCTAGATGCTGGCTGCTCCCGGGTCAGAGGTCAGCTTCTAAAGAAAGGAAGATGCTCCGGTGCGGTCTGGGGTCCTCAGAGTGGCACCTCCAGGTATGTGACGTTCTGTAAATACCATCTCAGCCCAGGCACATGCTCAGCCTCGTGCCACCTTGGCACGATCCTCTGCCCTGCCTGCTCCCCCTTGCCCAGGAAGGACAGCAGCTTGTCTGTAAACAGAACAGGAGAAGCAGGAATTGATGCCCCCCTCATTCTGTCCCATGGCTGCCATCTCCCCTTCCTGGGCTCAAGGACACACACGTACCTTAGTGAGGCCCCTTGACTGGACAGATCGTATAACCATGTCCTCAGACGTCTACACAAAACCTGGTTCCTAACCAGCAACATACCAGCAGGGGAGGGGGCACAAATGCCACACCTGAGACCCCTGGGTAGGAATCTCTGCATGAGTTCATTCCCTAGGATCAGTGGTTAGAGAAGTCGCCTCCTAAGGGTCACGGGTCAGGGTGAAGGAGGCAGGTGTGGGAGGTGCCACTCACTCCCAGTGGCCTATGTGGGGAAGAATGGGGTGAGCTAGAAACGGGGGAGGGGAGAGCCATTCAACAGCAGTCAGGAGACCCAGCACCAGCCTCTAGCTGGATGTTTTATGTAACCAGGGGACAGTCCCTACCCGCTTCTGAGTCTCACTTTCCATGGTTTCCTGGCCACAGTGGAGTGACCTGAGGAACTCTGGGACCTGGCAGCTCCATGGTTTTACCTGGGGACTAGCTACCAGCTCTCTCACATGAAGCAGAGGACAAAGTTGTCATGAGAACACCCAAGCACCTAGGGAACAATTCATGGTGCAAGCTGGTGAACAAGAAGGTGGGCTAGGGGGTGAGGGGCAGGGGAGAGGAATGAGGGCGTTGCTGAGGGAGTAAGCAAAGGCCACCAGAAGCGACAGAGGACTCCTGGGGACAGCAGAGAGAGCACCCAGCTGCCGTGGATGCAGAGCCGGACATGACTGATGGCCGAGGCCTCTGCCCACACCACAAACCATTTATCTCACAGCTCTACGGCACTGGTCCCTTCTTTTGGACAAAGTAGAAAACGGAGGCTCAGGAAAAGTTTGCCCTGTTTTACCTTGTACCCAGCCAGGATCAAGAAAAATCCACCTGGCTCCAAGCTAATACTCCTTGGAGAAGCCCAGAAAGGGTGGGGGGAGGGAGAGGGAGCTGCCCCTGGAGTGAGAGCAGTGGGGACACGGGGACAAGCTGAGCCTCGTAGACCCCAAGGTCTGTGTCTGGGGTGCCAGTTACCTCAGGAACCCTGAAGCCAGGAGCTACCCCCAGGTCTGCTGTGGCTCTGTGGGCATCGCCCCAACCTCCAGCACTGACCTGTGACCCTCTCGGGAGAACCTCTGAGGGAAGGGAACCTAGAAACTGCTCACCCTGGGTGCAGGTGAGGGAGGGGCTGAGTGGTGTTTCTCTAAAGTACTTCCAGGCTCAGCTCTGCAGTGAGGCCCAGGATCCATAGCAGGCAAAACTTTTTAAAAATAATTTATTTTTGTGGGGAAAAGGTCTATCTGTGTAGTCCTGGCTATCCTGGAATTTGTTGTATAGACCAAACTGGTCTCAAATTTAGTAGATACTTGCCTTTGCCTCTTAAGTGCTGGGATTAAAGGCATGCACCACCACAACCGGCATTTTTATTTTTTTATTTCATGTTTTTAAATGGCTCAAATCATTACAAAGGTCCCCAAGGAGGCCTTGGGAGAGGTGAAGGACATGGAGAGGCAGAGATGCAGTATCATCCCCTATCGCCCCACCTGCCCTGACATCCCGCAGTGTGTACGCAAAGGGTCACAGACCCTTTTGCTAACAGTACAAACCATCCTAGCAGTCGGAATGGAGAGAGTCTTCACCTTCGCATCAGCAACGGCAAGCCCTGGTCCCTGGGACCAAGCTGAGATCCCTAGGGAAACATGGCAGGAGTCTCCTCCTCCAGAAGGCAGGGACTTCCTGGTTCCTCCAGCCTGGGGCACCCCAGAGTCCAGGTGCTCAACCCCACACCTGCTCAGGACCACACGCCTGGGCAGTACAGGTCAGTGGGAAGGTACGGCCCAGGGAATGAGGTGCTACCCGCTGCTCAGTACAGTCCTTCATGAACAGCAGGAAGCCCAGAGTCTCTCTTTCCAACTCTGGAGGTTATGGCAACAGTACCCTGGCCTGCAGGGTGGCGAGGGAACACGGTCAAGCTCGGGCCCCCAGCTCTCCAATGCGCTGCCGCAGGTGAAAGGCGAATTCAAACATGGTGGCTGCAAGGCTCTGGTGGATAAGGTACCGAGGCAGGCGACCCTATGGGGCAGGAAGAAGTCACACCATGACTAGCCTTCAACAGGGTCTCCCATCAGCAGCTCGCACTAGCAGGGGCACCCTGGGCCAGAGGGCCGATGTATCTCTGGAATCTGCCTGGGCCCCCGGTCCTCTTACTCACAGAGGGAGGAACATGCTGTAGCTATAAAAACACAGCAGGTAGGGGTGGGCTGGCAGCCAGACAGCCTTCTGGGGACCCAGGGATCAGGAATAAGAAAGGGCGTCACATGTGTCCCACAACTCAGGGCTAGAAGGTCACCTGGACTTTGCCACCAATCCAGTAGAGGAGACTAAAAGTGGGAGGTCCCTGAGTACGGCAGAGGGGTTAAGGTCACATAGCAACCAAGACTCCGTTCCACAGGGCCTGCCGCCTGCCATGACCTCACCTTGAGATCCGTGTTAAGAATCCAGATGAAGGTGCAGACTCGGGGGTTGCTGGCTGACTTGAGCACAATGAAGCCTCCAGGACCATTCTCTCCCCTGAGGAGGGAAGCATCACAGGGGGTGGTTGCTGAACAAAGCAGGTCCCCCAAGCCACCCCCACCCCAGTCTCGGTCCAGCTGGACTGTGGTGGAAAGGGGGGCACGGATGCCAATCCAGGAACGACCTCCCTGCCTCAGTGTGGCTCAGAGCCAGTGCCAGGGGCAGCAGGACCTGCCCTCCACCCACACCCATCCCACAGTGGCAGGGAGCCCACCACCTTCCCAGTCCTTATCCGCTTTGTACAGACTCATAAAGTAAGCCTAACTGTGACAGTGGCCGAGGGTGGCACGGCCTCCAGAAGAGGGCGCCTTCCCAGGAGGCAGTTAGCCCGCAGGCTGCTGTTCACCTCCCATGGCCTTTTTGCAGAGCACGCTTAAGCTACTGCCACAGATAAGGAGGTGACACAGAGGACGCAAGCCTGCCCATCTCCTAGCAAGGCCACCGCAGCACCAAAACAGAGCCCTAATCTGAAGTTCATGAAGACTGCTCTGCTGGAGCCACCTCTTGGGGTCACCCCAAGAGTCTGATCAGCCGTGGGGGGGTAGGGTAGCCCTCCCCGCTCTGGCAGCACATGGACAGTCATTGAGGACAGAACGGTATAACCCAGAACCCAGCGCCATCTCCAGGCTCCTCGGTCCATTCCTGGGACTATCTCAGCCAGCTGCCCACTACACACACACCCCCTCTGCCTTGGTTCCAGGCAGCAAGATTAGCAGGATTAGGGCTGGGATGGGCAAGGCTGGTAGGCTGGGAACAGAACAGGGCTTTAGCCTCAGACTTGGCGGGGGAGGGTTGTCAGCTGCACACACTGTACCCTGAGTGGTTCACAGCTCGAGGGAGGCCAGATTCACCTGACATATTTGTGCGTGGGGGGCTTGGCGCAGTGTGTGGTAGCAATGCCAGACGACAGGTATCGGTCTCTGCGCCTTTCAATGCGCCGGACATTCACAAAGTCCCTGGGGGTGGGAGGTAGAGGCAGGTTAGAACAGAGGTCCCAAGTGTGGGAGGCTTGGCTAAGAGAGGACCTGGGTGCTCACCTGGGAGACACGACGCCACCTGCAGCCCCTGATGACACATCATAGGAGATGAGGGTGCTGTCCTCCACCCGCTGCAGGATCTAAGGGCCAACCAGGGAGATCTGAGGTACAGGGGAAGCCCCGACATTGCCCCGGCACCTCAGCATCTTCAAACCAGCCTCTCCCTGTCAGGGACGCTGCACTATGAGCCGCTGTCACCTACGGGCCCTGGGCTGGGTAAGCACACTGAGCCTTCTTGCCTCGTGGCCTTCTCCAAAGGAACCATAGCAGAACCCACTATATACAGAGAAGCTAAGTCCCCTGGAGGAAAATGGCTAGGTGTGACTGTGCCCTGATCCATGTCATAAGAGGTGGCAAGCAGGACCCAGGTGGCTCACCTGGCAGGCGGTCACTGTCTTATTCCACAGCACCATCCTCTCGGGCTGCAGGATCACTTCCTGGTACACCAGCTCGGCAGGACAGGGCAGGAAGGTCTGCAGGAGGGGGTCAGGGCTGGGTGGTGTCCAAGAAGCGACCCCCTCTAGCTGGGGGATTTGGCGGCAGGACCCCAGCAGAGCAGGTATCTCTGGAACCCCCTTCCCTACTCACCTTCAAGATGAAGGTCTTGCCATGGAAGGGAACCTCAATGGTGTACACAGTGTCCCCATACTCCTGTGGCAAGGACAGAGGATGACAGGGAGGAGGGTGGAGGGCATCGGTGGGGACAGGAACTTGTGGCATGGGAACAGGTGACAGGCCAGGTAGGTTTCCAACAGCCTAAGGTGAAAACCCCAGGACTCTGGGGACATCTGGGCAGCCTCCAGAACACGGTGGCAGCTCTAGTGAGCAGGACCACGTGCAGAGGTCAGCTCTGTGCTCACGTTGAAAGGCAGGAGCTCAGCTGTGACTGCAACCGTGACAAACCAGAGCCACAGCTCCAGGCTGCCAAGGGCTGCCCGGGGAACTGGCCAGCAAAGACCCGGGCATGCTTCCCTGTTTCCCCAGCTCGCTGCAATCTTTTTAGATAATGCTCTTTTGATCATGAAACAAAACACCACACATGGGACGCAGGCTGGCTTCCCCTCAAAGACTGAATCCCAGGAAACCAAACATCAGGTAGACGAGGTCTGGGCAGTAGAAGACAGGGAGATAGAGTCCAGGCCAGCATGGCCTCCTACTGAATGGCTGGACCCCAGGCTGAGGCTAGCTCCAACTCCGTATCCACCGCCTCCCTGGGGTAGGTTTCAGTTTACTCAACCCTCAGGTTCACTTCTCAGGGCTCAGAAAAAAG